TGTCTGAAATTTTTTGAAATCTTATGTCATCTAAAGTAACTTTAACTTAATAGTGAAGTAAAAAATCTACTAAAAAACGTTTGAGTCCAAATTTATCCAAACTTGGCAGGAATGTTCCTTTGGTAAAGGGCTTCCAAATTTGTGAAAAGAATTTAATTCCGTGCAAGAATCTGGTTGTCATGGCAACCAAAAGAAATTATAAGGAAAAGAAAATAAAAAAAAAATCTTCATCTAAAGACACACAAGGCCTAGAGCTTAAATATTTTGCAAAAGGCATCGTCAGTTGGACCTCTAACAATTGACCCTTTCTTGGGGTCATTTTGCACTTAAAATATCTTACTGTCTGAAGGTACAAGCTTCTGAAGTTTAGAGGTTTAATATTTGGTATATATTATGATCTATAGGTCCTCTACCAAAGTTGCTCAAATTTTGTCTATAGCATCAAAATCGGCCCGCCCAAGGGGTTATAGGTTTTCCTTATATGTTTATATATTAAGTAAAAATTTAATGAAATTCTTCTCTGAATTGACAAATGCTAAAGGTTAGATATCTAGCATGAAAATTTGTGTACTAGACCTATATCAAGATTGTTAAAATTATAGTCCAGAGGTCAAAATAGGCTAATTCATTGATTTTCATTATTTACATATAGTAAAAAAATCTTCTTTTAAATTTTAACTGTCTAAGAAATAGGTAATGCTTAATTGAAAAAATAGCATTTAAGAAAAAAGGTGTAACTGTATTTCAAAGTTTAAATCTGCAATGTACCGGTTATACAGTACACACCCTTCAATTATTGCACTATACATGTATATGGCCTTTGTATCTTAACATACACATTTGCAAATTTTTATCATATATGTCATGCTAAAATATGACCTTCACCCCAAAATTCACAAGACACATCTGCATTATGGCAAAGTTCAATTGTATAGAACTCTGTTATATTGATGCAGTGATATTGTATTTTTTCACAAATGCAATCTTTTATATTTTGGCCCCTCCCCATACAAAACAGCGTGTAATCAATGGAGGATTGACTAAAATAGGCATGCATTTTACTTAATTAAATGCAAGTAATCAATTAAAAACTCCAGTTTTAACAAGAAACAATAAGACAGGTAATGAAGTGACTTCATGAAAAGTAAAATGTTAACAAGGCTTATAATACTAGTATATAGCAGAAATTATACAGAACTTGTTATGGTAGTTAGTATCTCAAAATTTTTATTACACTTCATTATATGCTCGAGATTGAAACATATATAAGCTGAGCATGACATATGTTATCAAATACTTTTCATTTTGAATAAATGTACTCATGCTAATTGAAAGTAAACTACAGAAGTAGCTAATGGCAATTGTTGCTTATATTGATATACATGTTTTCTGTATCTGAAATAATTCAAAATAAAGAAAAGCAGGAAAGAGGTTGGCTTATATAGGGAAGAGGAGGCCAGCATATAAAATAATATGTTTAATGCTCTAAAGATTATGAAAACTTGACGCTGTTATAAGTCAGGGAAAAATGGTCTTGGTCAGGGATAGGTCATGGAAAAGTCGGGGAATTTTGATTTCTCTTCTTTGTGGGAACCCTGTTTTACACTAGCAGAGCGAGATTCACAGTGTAACAGATGCTGAAAAGTTACCATTGGCATTCAAGAAGACCAAAACAGACTGTAAATGTTACAGCAGTTTTTGATTTACTGTATTTCTTGGTAATTTATCTATTCTGAGTTCAGCCAACTCCTCTTGTGAGAGTTATAGCAGGGTTGGCAAAGTATTGACCACCCATGAAAACCCGATATACAGTTACAGCTATAGGCAGGAATAATTTGTATGGTCATTAAATTTTCCGGCATGAAATTTTTTGCTACATTGTACATGTACTTATAACAAAAAAGGCGTGGCACTTCACTGGCAATTAGGCAACAAAAAAGGTTGCTTCATTGCCAAGTGGTTATGGCCGCTGATCAGCAGATAAAAACCTCTGGGCCTTCATCCATTGGATTCTTTCATATTAGGAAGCTTTCGAGCTAGGTTATGAAATCGGGGTTTTTATTTTTATCTGGGGCAACAGATGTGCTAACAAACACAACCGATTTGGCCAAAGGTCAAGGGTGGATATTTTAATCTACTTTATGAAAATTCATCCGATTTTAACAGCATGTCAACTGATGATGTGGATCGCCAGTCTGTTAATATAAATACCATTTTATGGAGCCGCAAAATTAAACGGATGTGTGATAAAATAATAATGATAAAAGTTAGTTTATTAATGAAGAAATGACATTTCCAGGACCCCAAAAAAGAATGTGAGGAATGGATTTTGGAAAATATAACAGAGGGTGATGTGTGTCCAAAAATGAGATATACCAAGAATACAGGTATGATGATCCTTGTTGAACTCTTACAAAATCTGATATATAGTTTCTTTCGTAAACCACTGACCTAATTGCTTAACAGAACATTTGGAAAATACATTAAATCCTTTTTAAGAGACTTTTTCAAATGATAATGCAAATTTTTTGTCATGAAATGTCATGTTTAATTTCTAGGTTGTTGGGGGAGGGAGTGGGGTTTTGGGACTTTATGAGATTACATTATTGTTGGTGATTTTTAACAGTTTAAAGGGAGAAACAATTTATGTTTGGCCATTTTTGTTAAAGACAAAAAATCACTGTTTAAGTTTTTCTAAAACATAGCTGGGATTAGAGAATAGGTATAGCAAAGAAAAATCATATTGCAATATATTGCAATAGTTACATTTAAAATGCTTGAAATATTCAAGGGTTAGAGCTACAGAACCTCAAAGAGTTAATTGTTTGATATTATGTCCCCGTTATGGATATGTGGGAGGTACACATTTAACTGTCAGTGATTATTCACCTTATATAACAGAGGCCTATTGAATGCCTCTTCCCACTGGACTTTTTCTATAAATCATGCAGTTTTCCCAAAAATCTGAACTTACACTAGTATTTTTACTTCAAATATTATAAACTTTAGAGATAATTTTGCCCATTAGTCAAATAGGTTAACACCTCTTAACAATTTAGTGTGAAAAACCACTGACTGTATAGACTCCGAGTAAATCTAAGTTTTTTTCCCCAGAATTAAAGGAACATGACCCGACCTATACCAATGGAATTGAAAATTTCAGCGATTTTTTACAAAAAATTGGGAAAAAATGCATGACTTAAATTTTTTTGTGATTCTATTAATACAAACAATCACTGTCTTAGATGGCATCTTCAACTCTTCAAACATTTAAGCACTTTGTGAAGAAGCCCTTATTTTCATAGATTTTGTAATTTGTTATTCAAGACCCTTTTTTGGCTCTGGTGAGCTATTAATATCAAAGGGGGATACTCCGGCGTCCGTTGTCCATCGTCATGCATCAACAATCGTCTTCTTCTCTGAAACCGCTGGGCTGATTTACTTCAAATTTGGTCTGTAGCATCCTTGTGACAATCACACTTGCATTTGCTCATGTCATTTCAATCGGCCCCTTTTAGGGGTCAACAGAGCTAAAAATAGAAAAACCTTTAAACATCTTCTACTACAGAGCTAATTGATGGATAATCACCAAACTTTATCTGTAGCTTTCTTGGGTAGTCTTTTATCAAATTTGCTCATATTAATTTGATTGGCCCCTTTTAGGGGTCTCTAGAGCTAAAAAAAGAAAAACCTTAAGACATCCTCTTCTACAGAACTAATGGATGGATGATCACCAAACTTTATCTGTAGCATTCTTGGGTAGTCTTTTATCAAGTTTGCTCATAATAATTTGATTGGCCCCTTTTAGGGGCCGCTAAAGCTAAAAATAGAAATACCTTTAAACATCTATATCTAGAGAACTTATTGATGGACCAGGACCTACTGCCAGTGTCGACCCCTACTCGCCTAAAGCCATCTGGAATTTACTCACTTAATACAAGACAGGTATAGTTGAAATGATGACTGTAATTTCAGTTGAGTTATTTTCCTTAACATTTAGAACAGAATTTGACAATTTACATTTGTACCTAAATCAGCTTTTTATATTGCTTGTTTCATATTTTGTCAATTATTTGGAGGATATTTGTTTAGGTCAGTGAAAGATCGGAATATATTTCACCGAGTGAGCCCCAAAAGGTATATTTCACGAGTGGTGCAGCCACAAGTGAAATATGAATTTTTGGTGTCCACGAGGTGAAATATGTTTCGATCTTGCAATAAACTTTTTATTATATGCAAAGAAACGTTTAAAAAGACGTTTTAACCTAATGCTAAATTAAAAGCGCACCAAATAATAATACGATGTAACATCATTTACGATGTCACACCATTTAGTTGGTTTACAGTACTATGCATGCTGGTATTTCACTGAAACAATGAAAGGGGCTTAAATTCAAAACAGTGAAATTATCAAAGTGGTAACTTCTGTCTGACTGTTTCAACAATGAAAATATCAGTTTTATATTTCACTGATATATTTCTATAAACCAACGAAAAGTATGTAATAAATGAGTGTAACCAAGTGCTATTTTTAGGGTTAAATTGTTATTTTCCAAGGAAGACAACTCTTTCAACCTTGTTGGATTTTTACTCTTAACTCTTTATGCCCTTTGTCCCAATCTGCTATCTGCTCATCCATGTTTCCCTCCTAAAGTTAGGGTCACCTGATGTCATTCTTTGGCCATTGTACCATATAGATGAAGTAGATCTATGTGTTGTACTTAAAATAATGTGATAATTAGTAAGAATTTGGATTGAGAAATTGTAATTGCAGTACAGAGCTAATATCACAGTATGAGTGACAGAGGTATAGTTAACAGAATCTGATCCACAATTGGGCATGATGTATGATTTTTCCTGGAATTATAATGTTCACTACAAATTAAATCTACGAACCAGTAAAAAGACATAGGGGTCACATGATACAGAAAATTGACCCCAATAATGGCTGCCACTTATGGCAAGAGAGGTACATATTATTAAAATTGGGAACTATCAATAATGAAGGTTGAAAGTTAAGTACCTTTTTGGCTAGCCTAACCCGTTAAAGTATTATGCTTGTTTTTACATACTTGCATACTATGCATAAAAGTGCAGGCTGGTTTTTATTTAGGCAAATTACTAGTGTTGCTAGCATAAAACAAGCTGATATTTAACTTTCATCTTTAAGGAAGGACAATAATGGTGTCCATATGGACAAAGCAGAGACTTTGGGGGATAGGATTCTAATTATAGCAGACGACAAACTGAAATGTGCTGGTACCCCATCTTACTTTAAGTCTAAACTAGGGGATGGTTACCGGCTCTGTATTTTGAAAGATGAAGGTATGTTTAACATAAAGCTGATATATGACATAATGCTTAGATGATAGTGATTTATAGTTTTTATACTTTTTAACTGGAAGAATGTTTTGACGTTTGTTGAAATTAAAAGTCATGAAGTGTCAATATATTAAACAAATCTTCAAAAATTCAATTTTAAATGACAATATTATGTTTACAATGTAAAAAACATTTAAAAATTCAAAAGTATAACATTTTTTTTTCTTTTTTGATTGTGTGGTTTTAACACCTTATGAGATATTGTTTGTCATATCTCAACAGTCAGTCCAATAAAACATTCCTGGATAACTAACCAGTAATTACCAATATCTCCGCAAGTGACTAACCCAACATGATTTCTTGATCAATAGTTAGAGACAAATGACCATTAGACTGAATGTCCGAGATGAATTTTCATGTAGAAATTTCAACTTGAATTCACAATATTTTCACCCTGTTACATATGAATTGAGGACCATTTCTACATATACTTTACAGTGATATATAAATTGGAGACTGCATTTTTATGTGATATACAGCAGTGTATTCTTGAGTTTATTTCTTTATGTTACATGCTAGCCATGTTTGCCATGCATGGGCACTTTCCCTATTGCTCAAATGGCTTGATTTCAAGGATTCAACAAGCAGGTCTAGTGGTTAAGGTCTGCGGCTTGAATTCTGCTCTGATATTTTCTCTGAAAATAATTTCAATCAAAAGTTAAGTAATATTATATGATGATATCTCAGTCTAAAAACACTTGTCTCAGGCAGAGCAAGCTTGACGTCCTTTTTATGAAATAACATGTATGAGATACTGTATAATCAGAAAAATTTTTTTACGGATTAATTTTTGCCTATAAAGTTCATTAAAGATTTTCAATTGTTGGATAAGTATGTAAGTATCGTACAAAGTTACAGAACTGACTTTAATAATTCCTGAACACTTAGCCTTTTCAATTTGCTTAATATAAAGAGTTCGAGAAAATATCAAATTTTACAGTATAACTCACATGCATTTACTCATTGGAAAGGAAAGAAATTAAGAAAAGATCGGTAATCAATTTTTAATTTTTATATATTTGATTTGAAATTTGATTCATGTTTGATTGGATTCTATAAATAGATTTTTCTTTTAGGTATGCATACTAATGGACCTTCAGAGCTGAATGGGAATAAAGATGCTCAGATTCTCACAATGGTAAAACAGATAATCCCAGCTGCCTTTATATCCAAGCATGTAGACAATGAGGTCCATATGACAATCCCAGTGCAGACGGACGAACATTTTGTTCCATTATTTAGACTTCTAGAGAACAAGAAAAGTGAGTTGGGGATAGCGAGTTATGGTATATCAGACAGTGGCCTTGAACAGGTGTTTGTGAAGGTCACAAAAAGTGGCGAGGAGGATAGCTGGGATTGTCTACACTTCTCACCTATATGTGATCTGAAGCTTATAGTTTGAGTAAAGACGAGGGGGTCCGACATTCTGTCCGTGGGCATGTCTTGTATTCAATATATTTTTATATCAGTGTAACTGTTTATAAATAAATGGTTTTCTTACGCATTGCTTATGTCACAAGCATCGACTTGGACTGTAATATATATGCATGGTGCTTTTTTGTATGCCATATGTAAGCTTAATCACAAAGATTGTCAACATAAAACTGTGCAGTAAATTGATCTGTTAGGAATGAACGTTCATCATTACTGCATTTTGGGAAATAACTTTTTCTTAATTGATAACCCTTTCGCTGCCAGAGGGTTATTTATTGATCACCTATTTGCCAGAAGGATTTCTAAGAAATTACTATATTATTAATTAAAATAATTATTGTTATTTGTAATATAATAATTATATATGTTTCCAAATCTGCTAGTATATAATAATTATTGTTGATGGTATAATTATCTATATATTTATTATTATACCATTACCACAAAATGTAGGGGGCTATAATGGATTCGCTTTGTCACGTCCGCCGGTCGGTCGTCCATCCGTCTTCATTTTAGTGTCCACTCTATAA